TTGCCACCAAGATTTTTTAAAAGATTTTTATTTATTTATTTGAGAGGTAGAGTTACTAACAGTGAGAGGGAGATACAGAGAGAAAGGTCTTCCGTCCGTTGGTTCACTCCCCAATGGGCACAATGGTCGGAGTTGCGCCAATCTGAAGCCAGGAGCCAGGTGCTTCTTCCCAGTCTCCCACGTGGGTGCAGAGGCCCAAGCACTTGGGCCATCGTCCACTGCTTTCTCAGGCCACAGCAGGGAGCTGGATTGGAAGAGGAGCAGCCAGGACTAGAACCAGTGCCCATATGGGATGCCGGCGCCGCAGGCGGAGGATGAACCTACTGCGCCATGATGCCGGCCAGCCACCAAGATTTAATAATGCAAGCTTCATCCTAATGACCTCATCCAATCTAATCCAAGCCAATCATCACCTCCCAAAAGCTCTACTTCCAAATGCCATAGTTGAATTAAATTCTCACCTTCTTAGTACCATTAACATATGACTTTGGGGCTCAAAGTCTTGTGTGAATTTAGGAGGACAAACCAAATTCAAACCATAACACCGATACGTGGGGCAGAGGGTGGTCTGCACCCATTCAAGAGCTGCAACATGAATATATGAGTGAAGTGGGCACATAATTGCAAAAAGGAAAATCAGAGGGACTCTGCATTGTCTAATGCTGCTAATATTGGTAAGTTATGTACATCAAAGTTGGGATGAATTTCACCTCTACACCTGAAGAGAGAAAGAGGAAGTGAAATGAAATATAACAGGTTGATAAAAGGCAGGGCAGCATGCTCGAGGGAAGAGGCACCCGGTGAGGATGGCTGGAGATCTTCCGGGCCAGCCACAGGTAGCAGGAGCTGTCTCCCAGGGAGGCTTCAGGGAAAGGTTCTGTTGGACCTCTTTGGTTTGTGCCACCTGGGGTTGCTTCTTGTATTTTCCAGGTCTTACTTTTAAGAATGATCTATAGCACTTATTAACCCTCAGCTAGAAAGCATTTCCACTTCTCGGAGGTGGAGGTAGGAAAGGGCAGGGCTTGTCAACATGTGTGGGGTATGTGGGCCAAAGCCACTCAGCTTACTAGGGGAGAATACAGGTTCCCTCTAGCCCTGGGCTAGTCCAGGGCTCCTTGAATAGACCCTCTGCATGAGTGCAAATCTCTCATTGGAGAGAACATGGGTGGCAATTCAGGAGCTGGGATGAGAGGAAGGGGTGCCCATTGTGAAATGTTCTTGGTCTAGGGGCTGCTAATCCAGTCCTCTTCTCTGGTTCCAGCCTGAGTAAGGCATTGAGTATTTCAGTGGAATGCCAACCGTAAAATCGCCAAGACTGAAAAGTGGTGCCATCAGCACCACTCAGCAATGCTACTATCACAGTCATGTCTGCTTGGGAAGGAGGGACTTTCTGTGCCTAATTTCTCCTCTAACACTCTAATTCATTTTACTCTAATTTCTGATTAGTATTCTAATCATTCATCTGTGTTGTCCAAAAGCCTTTGAATGTTGTATTCGGAATAAAGATCAAACTCCCTAGTATGTCATTTAAAACTCTCCCTGGTTTGACTCCAAGTCCCCTTTGTGAGTTTAAGCATCATTGTGTGGGAATGATCTATTTCTGGTTCATCTCTCTGTCATATGAACATAGAGACATTTGGCAAACATTCATCAGATGAGCAGATGGGTGATGGATGGATGCACTGAACTCTGAAGACCAATAAAAAACTCTCAGTTATGATTCAGGAATTGACAAAGTTGATTTCTGTATTTTTTTTAAGACAGGAAGAGTGGACAGTGAGAGAGAGAGACAGAGAGAAAGGTCTTCCTTTTGCCGTTGGTTCACCCTCCAATGGCCGCCGTGGCCAGCGCGCTGCAGCCGGCGCACCGCGCTGATCCGATGGCAGGAGCCAGGTGCTTTTCCTGGTCTCCCATGGGGTGCAGGGCCCAAGCACTTGGGCCATCCTCCACTGCACTTCCCTGGCCACAGCAGAGAGCTGGCCTGGAAGAGGGGCAACCAGGACAGAATCTGGCACCCCGACCGGGACTAGAAGCCGGTGTGCTGGCACCTCAAGGTGGAGGATTAGCCTAGTGAGCCGCAGCGCCGGCCGATTTCTGTATTTTTCCTACCCTTTTTTCATCCCTCCTCTCTAACTTTTCTTATCCCTTCTTTTCCATAAGAAGAACAAAAAAGACCATGAGTAGGAGGGTGGTCTAGGGTTTCTGCATAGGAAAACCTGATACACTTAGGTAGTATGAATTTTGGCTTCACGCAAATGCTGTCTTCCTTGAAATCTTTCAGGATATGTCCATCTGAAAGAAACTCAATGTGGAAAGGGTATGTGTTGGAGCTGATGATCAGGGAACTGGTCATGGAAAGAGGTGGGATTTGAGCTGGACCAGCTGGTGTTGTTTCCATCAGTATAATCAGTGAGATCCAATAATTGTACCTGCTTTCTTCTTTGGGTGATCCTGTACCTGGCAGGCGATCTGCCTGCCCTGCCCTTAAAGGAGGTTGAGAGGGCATGGCGCACCATGCTTCCCAGGAAGGACCCCACAACCTGACTGCTGGCAGGTAGTGGGAGCCCCAGTCGCATTTCCCCAACCCCCACCCTCACCAATCAGGTAAACTCCTCCTGGGTGTGGCCCAGGCCCACCTGGAAAGCTACCCTAATTATGTGACCTTCAAGCTGATTGGCGAAGCATAGTGGCGCCAATATCGGTTCTATCCTATAGAATTAGTGTTGCACTGAATTAGCTACGCCCCTCTGCCTGCCCTTTAAAAGGTGTGTGTGGTCGTTAACAAAGAGGACATGTTCACCGAGACTTGTCTCCGGTGCTTCTTATCAAAGAACACCGTTGCCCCACCATGCTGGCAGTGCACGGGCCTCACAGGACGAGCCCACATTCTTCTACTGAGTCTCTAGTGCTTATGAAAGTGTCAAGTATACAACATATACTCAATACTGAATTCTTGGATAAATCAATAAATACATGAGCAAAGGTATTGGAAAACAATAAGGTCTACTTGGCTAGAACACTGAGTGGGAAATAGGGTTGAAAAAGCAGAACTGAGGCCAGCGCCGTGGCTCACTAGGCTAATCTTCCGCCTTGCGGCGCCGGCACACCAGGTTCTAGTCCCGGTCAGGGTGCCAGATTCTGTCCTGGTTGCCCCTCTTCCAGGCCAGCTCTCTGCTGTGGCAAGGGAGTGCAGTGGAGGATGGCCCAAGTGCTTGGGCCCTGCACCCCATGGGAGACCAGGAAAAGCACCTGGCTCCTGCCATCAGATCAGCACGGTGTGCCAGCTGCAGCGCGCTGGCCACGGCGGCCATTGAAGGGTAAACCAATGGCAAAGGAAGACCTTTCTCTCTGTCTCTCTCTCTCACTGTCCACTCTGCCTGTCCAAAAAAAAAAAAAAAAGCAGAACTGAGCTAAATTAGGAGGACCTTCATAGGAAAGCTGTGTAAGTCTAATACAGGTTGGTGTCTTCTGCCTAATTTGGTGTGTCCCATCCCTGCAGTCCACCTGGTGAACTCTCCCTGAGGAGTACTAAGGTAGTACTAGGAGACTGAAGAATTATTAAAGGGACCTCCTCAATTTGCACTTGAAGTTGGTGGTACTTCACTGAATGAGCAGGAGGTGACCATGGAGGGACCCTCATTTGGTTCTCAGGACTCCCTTTTTCTCCCTGGTGTGCCCTGTTGATGCCCAGGATCCAGCCCCACTCCCAGGTCATCTACATTTGTCAGGTCTGTGTGACTTTATCCTCTCAGCCGTCTCACACCCAGTGATTAAGAACAATCTGTCAGTCTCTTCTTGGCAAGCTGTCTTAATCTTCTACACCTGCTTTGAAGTCTGATTTCTTCCAGGAAGTTTACTGCAGGTTTCTGGGCCCCTCTGTCCTTCTCTCCTCCCCGACACTTGGCCAGGACTTCGATATTTTGATGTTTCCTCCCTCTTGTCCACCCCCATATGTCTCTCCTATCATAGATGGAGCCAAATCTCACATCTTACCTTCTAATCTGGCTTAGCCCCTGACCTGTTTATGTGGACTTTGACTACCACATTGACTCGAAAAGGTTATCCTGTTTCCTTTTGTTTGCTCAAGGTGTCATCACATTTTAAAATGTCAATTGTTATACTTTCCCATCTTGACTATTTGGATTCTCTTTCCTGTGGTCTTCTACTGTTTAGCTAAAAACATATTTTTCCCAGAAAAGGGGAATGTGGGTTTCTCAGCTTTAATTTTTCAAATTGGACCCAGGGGATATATTTTTAAAAAAACATAGCCTTCAAATAATAAAGATAAGGTGGTTGATTAAAGATTCTGAAGTCTGGAAATGATTTTTTCAAGAAACTCAACTTGGAGGACTGATTCTGGAGCTATCCAGAGTGGGAGGCTGAGGACCAGGATGCAATAGGAAGTTCTTTTCACATAAGAAGAAACACAGCCAGAGCCAGGAGAAGCTTAATAGAAAGGTCAGATGTGAGAGTTCCACTCTGTCATTTGGGGTGTGAACTTTGAATGGTGGTGGGGAGGGGGTGACTCAGATGAGGAACCACACTCAAATGGATTTGGAGGGAGCCCAAGAGCACTGGGGTTGATTCCCACTTCTCTGGAAGTGTGCCCTAGAGAGATAAGGCCTGTCAAATAAGCCCTGGCTGTGTGTGGTCCAAGGCCAACGTGGCACGGGAAAGGCTAGGTAGGTAGAGTGGAGGGCTGTGTCGCACAGGGAGCAAGGGAGTTCTGCGGAAACTGAGGCACAGAAGAGCTTTGAGTTTGTGTTAAACAGGCCACAGAGTTGTAGGACCTCCCAGCCAGACAGGCCATCGCCATATTCATGGATGTTAGCAGTGGGCACCTGAATAATGCCCAGGGTCTAAGTGGCCCAAACCATGCCTAGGCTACCCTGGGTCAAGATGCCCTGTGAACATCACTTTGAGTGAGTTCCAAGACTTTCAGATGAATCAAATGCTTGGGGATAGGATGGATGATACAGTTGAGGCATATTTTTACAGCATTTTAGAGTTTAAAAATACCTTTCTTTGTTGTGCTACTCAAGGAGATGACTGTGAATTAGGTTTTCCAGATTATACAATGGAGGGGGAAGCTGGGGGATGAGGTGTTTGGTGGGGAGAATCATCTCGTGCCTGGAATCCAAGCCTCTGTTTCCAGACCCATCACCTGTTCTTTATGCTGTTGATGTCATTGATGCTGATTTCTAATGTTCTGCTCTCTCATGTCAGGCAGAAAGAATGGCTACTGGGGCCGTGGGGTCTCCACTTTGTCTTCAGCGCTTGCTGTCTGCCTCTCATCCCAGAGCAATGTGAGGGGCTGGGCCAGGCTACGGTGCTCCACGTGGCAGGAGTAGGGGGCTCGGTCCTGAGAGGGGACTCCCACCACCACCCAGGACAGGTAAGTGCCCTTTCCACTGGGGAGAATGTGTCTCTCCAACTCCAGCTTCTGCATCTCCCCAGCCCGAGTCCAGTGCAGACCAATTCCTTGTGGGTAGAAGTCATAGGCCAGACACTTGAGGGTCCTGTTCTGTCCTGGGGCCATGTGGCTGGAGGCTGTCACGGAGGGAGGCTCTGTGAAGGGACAGATGTGGATGTTGAGGGCGTGTTGTGACTTCTTCCATCCCCCACTCCCTGGATGTCAGTGATCGGCAGAGCTCTAAGCTCTGCTCATGTACCTGCCTCTACCAAGAAACCTTTACAAAGACCGGGGAAGGCTGTGGCTCCCTTTGGAGCGTTTCCTGCTGGGTCACGGAATGTCTGTGCTTGCTCTGATATCCCAACCCCACTCTGCCCCCTCCTGTGTTCACTTCTGATGGCAACAAGTTGTGAGTGCCCCATGCACTTCACTGTTTTCCCCCAAACTTCAATGGGCTTGGAGGGCTCTCTCCTCCAGCCCCAGCCCAGCTTCCTCATTCTGCCTGCAGCTCTGTTTGTCAAACTTTCCCCTCCTGCATTGCATAAGCTTCCAGTTTCTGCCTGGCCCAGTTCATCCTTCATATGCCGGCAACAGCTGGAGGTTGGCCAGGCAGAAACTGGAAGCTGGAAACTCAATCCAAGTCTCCCATGTGGGTGGCAGGTATCCAACTACTTGAGCCATCATCTGCTGCCTCCTGGGGTGCACATTGGCAGGAAGCTGGAATCAGGACTAGAACTGGGACTTGAACCCAAGAATTGCAATGTGGGATGTGGGATTTGAGTGTCCTAAGTGGTAACTTAACCACTGGACCTAATGCCCACCCCTGATGAATATTCTTTTTGGAACTCAGATCTTGTCTTCCCAGGGAAGGAATGACTCCTAGGAGGTAAAAGCCTGGAGGCAAGGGACTTCCCAGATAGATGGGAGCAGCCTGAGACATTCCCCTGACCTCCCAGCCTGATACTGTCTTCTCTTCTTCAGCCCAGTACTGGGGAGCAGGCCATGGGAAGCAGTGAGTACCTTGTCGGTCCAGGTGAGTTCTGCTGTAGTTCAGGTACCTCTGCAGCATCCCCGGGCACTCTTCTTCCAAGTACGCCTTGGCCCGCTGCACATAGACTTTTTCTGCTTCCCACTTTTTCTTGGTGTTCAGGGCTGCTGGGTCCAAGGCCACCCAGGCTGGGACTTCCTTGTTGAATTCGATGAAGTCTTCTCCATCGTAGGCATATCTCCAGAATGCTCCACTGCTTCTGTTATTCTGGAGCTCGCAACCGAACATTCCCTGGAAGGTGTGAGACCCTGAAGCCTCCCCAGACCCCACAGGGAGCCAGTCAGCCTAAGGCCAACTCCATCCAAACAAAAACTCTCATGCTCACATACTTTGCAACTCAGTAGGAGGAAAAGTTTCTGAAATCTAAGTATGCAATTTATGCAGTTTCTTTCTGGGGCAAATAGGTTACAGCAGAAAGACACACTCTTGTTTGGTTTTCAGACTTCCCATTCCATACCCTTCAGATTTCTATATAATGTGTGTGTGTGTGTGTGTGTGTGTGTGTGTTTTGACGAGGAGATGAGCTACATTCTTCCAGCCAGGGAACTTCAGAGAGCTACACACTGTGGACAGATTTCTAGCTCTTCTGTGTCATAGGGAAGCATGTTTGAATGCACAGTGTTTTCCTAGGAACCCGATACAACACACCCAAGTGCATTACCAAGTTAAGCAGAAGTTATTTGTGGTTTCATACAGATTGTGGCAATCTCTTTCATTTTAGTTCCACGTGCAATTCATATCACCACTCAAGTAAACATAATTTGACAACCTCTTCTCCTGTTCCCAGTGGTTGATATCGTCATTCCAAATCTCTGATGACTCAATCCCCTCCCCATTAACAATGGCTCTCGGAAATTGCCCTCCTTAGGGAGGGGAACACAAGCTCTCCATTCTAATTATAAAAGTAGGCATTTATCCAAAACCGATTAGTGCTGTTGACTCTCACGCTCTCTGGGCTCAAATCCCAGAACTGTCCCCACTCCCACTTGGCCTGTTGCATAGACTTGAGCAGTTAACCCCTCTTTGCTTCACTTTTCTCATCTCTGAAAAGCCAAAGGTGATGGTACTATTTTGGAGGGTTGTTGTGAGCATTAAGTGTGTTAATACCTGTACCTAGCATGTAGTAAGTGCTCAATAAATGGTACCTCTTATTATTTTTCTAGTACCCTGATTCACTGTATCTCTTCATCCTTTTTACTCATCATTTTTCAGGCCAACACTTCTATTCCTGTCAGCCCAAATTTCTTCCAGTGTCCTTCCTGAACCTGTGGGCTCTCCCCACATCTCTTTCTGACAAACAGCACAGATCACTTTTCTCACCAAGACTTCCCATTCTACATCCTTCAGATTTCTACATAACTCTTGTCTCCCTTTGTAAGCCTTTGGATTCCATGTAGCTTCTTGGACATTACACTCAGGAGCTACACTAGAACACTCACCCTATACTAATTTTTTTTTTTTTTACTTATTTGACAGGTAGAGTTAGATAGTGAGAGAGACAGGGAGAAAGGTCTTCCTTCCGTTGGTTCACCCCCCAAATGGCCGCTACGGCCGGCGCTACGCTGATCCAAAGCCAGGAGCCAGGTGCTTCCTCCTGGTCTCCCACGTGGGTACAGGTGCCCAAGCACTTGTGCCATCCTCCACTGCCCTCCTGGGCCACAGCAGAGAGCTGGACTGGAAGAGGAGCAACCGGGACTAGAACCTGGTGCCCATATGGGATTCCAGCGCTGCAGGCAGAGGATTAGCCAATAAGCCATGGCGCCGGCCCTCCCTATACTAATTTAACATCAACAGTTCACTAGGCCTGAGACTGGATGATGTGAGTAGGCAGGGTATTACAGAAAGAAGAGTGCTGGGCTGGGAGACACAGAAGGCTGCTTCTGTGTAGCTCTGCCACCAGCTCCTCACACCACAGGATGAGTGACTTTTCCCATGTCTGCTCATAGATGGAGGATCTGAATGGTTTCATGTAGCTCAAACTGTCTGTGGTTTTAAATCCAACACTTATTGAGCTACCACACTGGGCCATGATTTATGCTAGGTACTTTGTCTATTCACGCTAACAAATTTCAATTGTGCAGATATTACTGGCTGCACCTATCCTAGGCCAAGGGGCTAAGGGATTAAGATAGATATAGACAAATTTTGCAGAATTTCTTGGAGGTAGGTTTCAAGGCTCCAATTCAAACCAAATAACTAGGAAACGTGCTCACTGTCTAACAGCCAGTGATAGGCAGAGCCACCACATGAAGTCAGTTCTGCCTGGCCCCAACGTTGGCTCACTTTCCACTCGATGTCCCCAACAGCCTTCACATGGGTGGGGATATGGAGGTCAGAGGTCCCTGTTTAAAAGTGCCATCACTCTGACACCACTTGCTATGTGAGCTGAGGCCTGGGTTAAGAATGGGGATATCTGTAGGAAAGGAGAGAGACAGGTGTGTTGTGGGGTGGGGAGAATGTGATGTGGATGTGCCTGTGCCTTTCCATGGGTGCCTCTTGCTCCTCCTCTGGTCCACTCACGCTTGCCTCTTGAGCCCCGACCCTTCACCCCAGGCGGTCTGCAGCCCACTGACCTGTACTTTCCTTGTAATAGTTCATGGCGTCTTTCAGGGTCTCCAGGAAGATTTCCTCCCTGGCCTGCTGAAGCTGGCTCTCCTTCTTCCAATCCTCCATTCCTTCCACCTGGCTCCACGGCCCCAGGGGCTCTGCCTTCCTGCTCTCGCTGTCATAGTGGAAGAAGGCCTGGTCGTTGAGGAAGGCGGTGGCCTGAAACCTAGGGAAGCCTTTACTGGGCCTGGACAGCCCAGTGTAGAGAAAGGTCAGCAAGTAGGGACCTGAAAAAGAAGAGATGCAGACGGGTGGGGCCCACACACAGTACTCCCACTGTGGGGCGCAGAGGGCCAGCAGGGAGGACCTGGCCTGGGGCCTCTTCCTTCTCAGCTTCCAGGCTCACACCATGGACGGAAGAGCTCGGCTTTTATTCTGGGGATGATATTTCAGAGACCACCCTTTGCCTTCACGGTGTTGGTTCCTCTGCTTGGCACACAAGGTGATGATATATTTTTTTAAACCTTGTAGGTATACTGGGGCCATTATGACTACATTCTGGCTAAAGGAAAAATAAACGGAAGTGATGTGTTTCTTCTGGGCCAAGGCCCCGTGAGCCGGCTTTCCTTGCCTTTCTTTCCTTGGGTGATGGCCATGGAGGCCAACGGGTGAAATGGAAGAGTCTCGAGATGCAAAAAGCCCGGATGCTTGAGTCAGCCCGCAGAGGAGAGGAACCTTGCTGGATCTGAATTCAACTTGATGTGAGTGAGAAATCACTTGTTGGGCAAAGTCACTAAAAGTTTTGTTACCATTGGAGCATAATGTAATCTAGCCTGATAAATACACACGGGTAGAAAGCATACGATGGAGAATTTACTAGAAAACTCAAGAAATGATACAGAATGGATCAGCATAGATTAAGACTAGTATGGATCTCAGTAGTGTATATCTTGCATTTTGGTGCAAGGCAGAGGCTGAGAGAGGGGGACATTTCCATCCATTTCCATCATTACTTTGATAATTAATTCATGATGTGACTCACATGGGTGTGAATAATGTAGGTCACATAGTAGATTTCTGGATCAAGTACTGAAATTATTATTTCAAAATGTTTATGTGTTCATTTTTTTTGGAAAGGTGGAGGGAGGGAAGGAGAGAGAGAGAGAGAGAGAGAGAGAGAGAGAGAGAGAAAGAGAAACTCTTTCATTTGCTGCTAAACTCCCCAAATGCTTACTGGGGTTGGGCCAGGCCAAGGCTAGGAGCCTGGAATCCATCCTGGTTTACCACATGGGTGGCAGGGACTTTAAGTTCTTGAGCCATCATCTGCTGCCTCCCTAGCTCATTAGCAGGAGACTGGATCAGAAGGCAGAGGTGGGATTTGATCCTGGCACTCCAGCATGGGATCAAAGCGTCCCAAGTGTCGCAAGCAGTGGCTAAACTTGCTGCACCGTGCCTGCAATGATCGAGGCTGGGCCAGGCCAAATGCAGGATTTGGGAACTCAACTCATTTCCCATGTGGGTGGCAGGGACTCAACTACTTGAGCCATCACCTACTGTCTCCCAGGGCGGCAGAAAGCTGGAATTGGGAGCTGGAGCTGGGATTTGAACTCGGGTATTCCAGTATGGAATGCAGACACACTGGCCACCCCTTCCACGGAACCCTTGTATATAATACACATCCTGTTAGTTCTGTTTCTCCAGAGAACTCTGACTCATGCCGAGTTCACTGTACACTATGGCAATATTCTAAACGTGAGTGTCTTATTCTGACAATTTATAAAAGTAATGAATTTTAAACACTCACAATTCAGGAATCACAAGTTTGCATCTCTTCTGCCTGAACATTCATAAGCCAGGAAGAGCCTCAGCCCTTGGTGCCCCTCTCCCAGCCCATCCACCCTGCTCTGCGTCTTCCCTCCCTTCTTCTCCAGGGCTCATCCCTCGCTCCGTCCACTCACCCGCTTGGGTCCCCTGGGGGACCGTTGAACCCAGAAGGAGTGGCAGAGACAGTAGGACAGGCACCATCTTTGCTATAGTGCCTGGGTGGAAGGTACTGGACAGGAAATGCAGGTCTTTCCCTGGGGCCTGGAGCCGTGCCCAGGGGAGGTGAAGCCACAGGCCAATGAGAGGGCCAGGATGGGCTCCTCCCCTGAGATTGAGAAAAAGAGCCGCAGAAGACAGGAGTGTGGTCCTGAGGTCTGCAGTAGGGGCTTTAAACTGAGAGCTGAGACACTGGCTATCCTTCAGGTGGAGGAAGGCTGGTGGGCTGGGGGCGAGGTGTGCTGAGTGGTCGATGCTGGGATGTGTGTCACCCTTCCGGTCAGTTATGGCACTCCCCACTCTGGGATCGCTAGTGGGGTTTGGATGTTGTCAAATCAGGCTTCATCTCTCACCTCTGGAAAAGCTCTCGACATGTCCAGAATCCGGGCCTGGGTAGACCCCAGCCTCGGTGGGCTCATCGCTCCCCCACACCCCACCTGCCAGAGCTGTGTCTTAAAAACATTCACCTCCCTCCCTCTCTATGCTGGAGAATCCCGACCTTCCCCCACGAAAGCAGAAACAGCCAGGACAGCCCCCTCCTACCCTGCCCTCTGCAGCCTCCCTTGCAATGGAATGAGCAGGTGTACACAAGGCTTGGCTCAGCCAGCAGAGCTCCAGCTCTGGACACTGAGTCAGGTGTCAGATAAATAAGGCAGCAGATTCCATGGACAACACTTTCTGCTGGTCTCAGCCACGGCTGCAACTGCCAGTTCCTAGGGCAGCACTAGCCATGAAGATGTCCTGTGTCCAGTCCCTGCTGGTGGCGGTGTTGGTCCACTCGGTCGGATCTGCTGCCCTCTGCTGGCAGAAAAAATTATTGCTATTTATTTGGGGGAGGGGAGCGGAGTTCTTTCATTTGCCAGGTCCTTCCCCAAATACCCATATGGGTGTGCATGGGTGCTGGGCTGAACCAAAACTAGGGGCCTGGAGCTCAATCTTGTCTTCCATTTGGGTGGCAGGAACTCTGAGTCATCACCACTGCCTCCCAGGGAGCACATTAGCAGGAAGCAGGGATGGAGAGCAGAGTGGGGACTCTGATATGGGCTGTGGGAGTGTAACCTAGCCAAATACCTGTCCACGGAGTGTGTTTTTTATTCTGTTTTTTAAAGATATATTTATTTATTTAAAAGAGTTACACAGAGAGAAGAAAAAGGGAGAGGGAGAGGGAGAGGGAGAGGGAGAGGGAGAGAGAGATCCTCCATCCTCTAGTTCACTCCCCAATTGGCCGCAATTGCTGGAGCAATGCCAATATGAAGCCAGGAGCCAGGAGCTTCTTCTGGGTCTCCCAAGTGAGGGCAGAGGCCCAAGGACATGGGCCATCTTCTACTGCTTTCCCAGGCCATAGCAGAGAGCTGGATCAGAAGTAGAGCAGCCAGGACTTGAACCAGCACCTATATGGATGCCGGCGCTGCAGGTAGCGGATTTACCTGCTACGCCACAGTGCCAACCCCCAGAGTGTGATTTTTTAAAAAAGTTTATTTGGGGGTATGGCATTGTGGCGTGACAGATTGAGCCACCATCTGCAAAGCCAGCATCTTGTATGGGCGTTGGTTCGAGTCTTGGCTGCTCCACTTCTAATCTAGCTCCCTGCTAATGCACCTGGGGAAGTAGTGGAGAATGGCCCAAGTGTTTGGGCCCCTGCACCCACGTGGAAGATCCAGATGAAGCTCTTGGCTTTGGCCTGGCCTAACCCTGGCTGTTGTGGCCATTTGGGGAATGAACCAGCTGATGGAAGATTTCTGCCTGTTTCTCTCTCTCTCTCTCTCTCTCTCTCTCTCTCTCTCTCTGTAACTCTGCCTTTCAAATAAAATAGCTATTTTTAAAAAGTTTATTTGAATGTCAGAGTGACAGAGACAGAGATCTTCCATCTGCTGGTTCACTCCCCAAATGGCTGAAATGGTTAGAGTTGGGCCAGACTAAAGCCAGGAGCCAGGAACTCCATCTGGGTCTCCCACATGGGTGGCAAGGGGTCCAAGCACTTGGGCCATCTTCTGCTGCATTCCCAGGCACATTAGCAGAGAGTTAGATTGGAAGTGGATCAGCTAGGACTCAAAACGGCACTCCGATATGGGAGGCTGGCATTGCAGGCAGCAGCTTAACCTTCTGAGCTACCGGGCCAACCCTGGGAGTGTGATTTTTGACAGCATCTCCTGCCTAATTCAGAGCATGGGTTCTCCAGGCTCTCTGTGGACTCTGCAGATAACTAATAATTAGCTACTAACTAATCATTAACTTTATTTTCTACTTAAAGTCAGAATTGGATTCTGTTTCTAGCGATGAAGAATGATACTGACTGACACAGAAATTGGTCCAAGGATTGTTTCCAGATGATAGATGTTCAGGGGAATGGAAGGATGGGAACCTGAGATTGTTTCTGGGGCCGGAATCCAGTGCAAACACAATGGTCTTTGGGAATCCATGCAGGCCTGGTATGCAGGAGTGGGTAGAACAGTGACTGGTTATCTCTTGTGGACGTCTGGAAGGAGTGCTGTTGAAGGGAACATTTCTAGTCCCAAGTGGCTGATCCCACAGGGGAGTGTGAGGGATATGAGGGATTCAAGGACCAAGGACCAGAAGTCTGAGTCCAAGAGTGGCAGAAAGCTTAAAGCTAAAGAGAATAAACTCAAACACAGAAGTGATTGGCCCAAAGCACAGTCTGAAAATCAGGCATCTTCTATGATAGTGCAGTTGCAAGGATGAAACAGACAAAATCCTAATAATGCCTAATTGTTAAAACCTAACAATGAAAAAGTAGGTTTTATGCCCGGCACCGCGGCTCAATAGGCTAATCCTCTGCCTGCAGTGCTGGCACCCCAGGTTCTAGTCCCGGTTGGGGCGCCGGATTCTGTCCCAGGTGCTCCTCTTCCAGTCCAGCTCTCTGCTGTGGCCCGGAAGTGCAATGGAGGATGGCCCAAGTGCTTGGGCCCTGCACCGCATGGGAAACCAGGATAAGCACCTGGCTCCTGGCTTCGGATCTGCGTGGTGCACCGGCCGCAGTGCACCGGCCACAGTGGCCATTGGAGGGTGAACCAACGGTAAAGGAAGACCTTTCTCTCTGTCTCTACCTCTCTCACTGTCCACTCTGCCTGTCCAAAAAAAAAAAAAAATAGGTTTTATATCTTAATTACTCAAACCTAGTATTTTTAATAACAAAATATGATCCAGGCATTCCTTCCAATTTTACAAGGTTGATACCGATGGGCAGTACTAATAAGAGCATCATTGGAGAGAAACGCAGGAAGGTAGCTGTTGAGTGTGAACACAACACTGGTCACGGGTAGAATTTCTGTTGACAGAGATGGGGGCAAATTTCATAAGGATGGGGTTGTGTCTATCATGTTCTTTTGTCTGTCACTAGTGCTTAGCCCAGTGATTGACAAAAGACAGACAATAAGCACTTATAAAAATAGGCCAACAGGGGCTGGCGTTGTGGAGCAGTGGGTTAAGCTGCAGCTTATAATGCCTGCATCCTGTATCAGAGTCCCGGCTGCTCCACTTCTGATCCAGCTCTCTGCTAATGCACCTGGGAAAGAAGCAGGTGATGGCCCAAGTTCTTAGGTCCTTGCCACCCATGTGGGAGACATAGATGGAGTTCTAAGCTCCTGGCTTGGGCCTGGCTCAGCCCTGGCTGTTGTGACCATTTGGGGAGTGAACCAGTGGATGAAAGATATACCTCTCTCTCTCTCTCTCTCTCTCTCTCTGTTCCCACCTCTTTATCTCTGTCACTCTGCCTTTCAAATAAAATAAATATAAATAAATCCTTTTAAAAAAGGCCAACAGATATAGGAACAAAGACAAAGAGAATGAACACCTCAGGGTTATCAAGACCAATCTGGTGGGGACAGAATTCATGAAGATGATTGAGGAGTTGGATTGTCTGGGATGGTTAAGTGCAAAAGTGAGGTTGGAATCAGATTTCGGAGAGACCCAATCAAAGACATGATGCATCTGACGTCTTCCAATGAGTGAGGAGCTCCATGGTGTCTTCCCACACAGCCTGTGTTCTCTGGTCAGCAGTTTTCAAACTTTTTGTGCCATCTTCTCCTTTGCCAGTCGTTCTCAAGGTAATTTTTAGTGCATAAAATAAAAGTAAAGCTGTATGGGCAGGGTGTTAGGCTCTTCTGAAGTGACTGAAGAATTATTTAAGAAGGAAATAATGTGGTCGGCACCGCGGCTCACTAGGCTAATCCTCTGCCTTGTGGCACCAGCACACCGGGTTCTAGTCCCGGTCAGGGCGCTGGATTCTGTCCCGGTCGCCCCTCTTCCAGGCCAGCTCTCTGCTGTGGCCCGGGGGTGCAGTGGAGGATGGCCCAAGTGCTTGGGCCCTGCACCCCATGGGAGACCAGGAGGAAGCACCTGGCTCCTGCCATCGGATCAGTGCCATGCACCGACCACAGTGGCCATTGGAGGGTGAACCAATGGCAAAAGGAAAACCTTTCTCTTTGTCTCTCTCTCTCTCACTATCCACTCTGCCTGTCAAAAAAAAAAAAAAATGTGGCAATGAGACCCTCCTGGGGTTGGGCCTTCATGTGGTTTGTATTTGGTTCAACTGCCCTCCAAGGCGTCACGTGCTGAAATTTAATCTCCACAGTGAAATATGGGGCAGGCTGGAACTTAGCCCAAATGTGGGGTTTAGAGCTGGAGTCTTTGGGCCAAGACTAGGTTACATAAGGCCAGTGGAATGGAGCCACCAAATTGAATTCTGGTTTTATAAGAAGAGGGAGCAAGATCCGAAGACGTGCACATACACAGGTGCTCTCCCTGCCCCTGCCATGGGATGCCCTGCTCTCCCTCAGGACTCTACAAGAGTCCTGACCAAAGGCCTGACCATGGCCTTTGAACTCAGAGCTGTGAGCAAAAACCTCCTCTTTTCTTTGTATGCTTTTTATAAAAGATTTATTTATTTATTTGAGAGGTAGAGTTACAGAAGTGAGAGGAAGAGACAGAGAGAAAAGTCTTCCATCCGCTTGTTCACTCCCTAAATGGCTACAACAGCTGGAGCTGAGCTGATCTGAAGCCAGAAGCCAGGAGCTTCTTTCGGGTCT